ATATATATATATATATATATATATATATATAGATACCTTATCAACCAGTGAACCACCTAACTAAAGGGTCCATCATAGAATTCGCAAATCAATTATGCATCGTCTAGGGGCTTTTCAAGCCAAATTTGCCTTAGATGCCGAACAATAGAAATCGAACAAAAACAAAGTGAGACGCCACATATTTGGCAAGTGAGAGTTGCCAAAACTGTCATATGGAGTAGGTTTGAACCTGGTGCACTTAGCACAACAAACAAACAAAAAAAAAAAAAACCACGTTGCTACTAGGGATGCTAATGGGTTTGTGGGGGTGAGTAACATGGTATTTGTTCTCGTATCATTGAATAAAAATTTGTCTCGTACTCTCATAAATATTCGTTAAGCAAATACATTACAAATTTTATAAATATTTATGGATATTCATGAATATATATGAATTTTAAAAAAATATTATAAATAACTTTAAATTTATATTTAATATAAAATATATTAAAATATTAAAGACAAACAATTGACATTAATTTTTTTGAACTTACAATTAATGTTAAAATAATATAAAAATAAGATAAAATATGAATACTTAAATAACTTTATTTAATCAGTATTTGCATATATGAATACTACCATACTTGTCCTTGTCTCGTTTATAAACAAATAGAAAAATACTTGTACTCATTAGTCGTGAGTATTTATTTAGACTACCAATTTATTACTCAAAATGGATTTTATCTGCAGATACCTATGAGTACGAATTTTTTTGTCACCCCTAATTGTTAAGTCCCACATGAATATGATAAGTGAAACATTTTTCCATATATTTCCCCTTAATCTAATGAAAAAATACAAAAAGATTGAGACTCACCATTTTTATTATTATCTCCACTCTCACCATTTTCTTCGCATTAAATAACCAACTATTATGATAGTAAGTCTACTAGTACCATTAGAGTCACCACGTGTGAGGTATTAATTGCTTTGGTGTTTGTTGGGTCATCAAGGTTTTGTCCTTGAAAAAATACCTTGTTAAGTTAAGGAGGGAAGTATTGAGATTTTGTAACAAGTACACCAAGTTTGCTATAGTATAGAAAATGGGTACAGGTTGTTGATCCACAAGGACTTAGTAGGTATTTTGTACTTTCTATTATCCTAATTAAAACTTTGAAAAGAAAGATATACATTGACTATAAACTTATTATTGTGCATTTCAATATTGAATTTGTAAAGGAAATAACAAGTAAAAGCAAGTGTAACATTGTAAATAATAAAATATCATATATATATATCTTGGTCTCGCGCCCAGCGCAATTCGAATTGCGCCCCGCGCCCTCGTGGCAGAGACTCCCAAGGAGTCTCACGCCCAGCGCGACAAGGGTCGTGCTCAGCGCTGAAATAGAAAGCCCAAATCAGGGTACAACTGATATCGCGCCCAGCGCGAACTAGCCAGAGACCCACATTCCCAAGCGCGCCTGGCGCACCCATCATTGCGCCCGGCGAGCTTGCCTAAATGGAGTCCCCTAGTAGCCACGCGCCCGGCGCGAAGAACTGCGCTCAGTGCGAAGCTCAACAGCAACACCAGCAAGTTCGAAAATCTCACCCAACCCTGCAAAACAACTAGAAATCCAGCATGCAGACGGTTCAAAGTACCACATTTTCATCCAATAGTTCAAAAACACCACCTTTTTACACATGCAACAACAAAACAAGGAAAACCCCAAATTTTTCTCAAAAACCCAAGGACCCCAAAAACTCAAATTTCCACCTGATCAGTAAGGAATCAACAATCATAAACAACCAAATGAGTTCTTAGACCCATTTTCAACCAAAACGCAACAAGAAAACCAGCTTCCCTTACCTCGGTGAAGATTCCGAGCTTCGGGACGGAGAAACGGAGAAGAAGAGAGAACGAAGTGAGCTTGAATGAACGAGAAAGGAGAAGAGGAATCCAACACCAGCTAGCACACCAACTACTCAGCACCACAACCTTGAATTCAAGAAAAGAGTGAAAGAGAGGATTTGAGAGGGAGGAAGATAGTGAATCAACCAAAAATGAGAGAGGATAGGATTTGGGGAAGAAAAGAAAGGAAAAAGGGGTCTCACAACGAATGAGTGTTATCATCAGGACTCATCTAAAATTATGGTGACGCTATAAAAAAATAGAAAAAATTATTTATTATTTTATTTTTCACAAAAATATTTAATTATGTTAGGTAGTAACGCCCATTGCCCTCTAGTGTGCAACTTAATAATAGAAATTTGGCAATTCGAGGTTGGAAAAAATATTGAGGCTGCTACTGTCTAAAAAAATTTGGATCTGATCTAGTCCACTACACTAAATATTGGGAATATAAAACTTATATTTTTCATTTTCTAATACTAAACAAATCCATTGGGCCCCTTTTTTGACTCACTTATCAAAGTGGATGATATAAGTACATGATTTTTGTTTGTGGCTTGAGGTTGAGGCCACTTATGAGACAATTGAACAGAGCCTCATTGCTGACACCAATAGCAATAACAGTAAATTCCAAATAATATGATGCAAAAACAGTGTCAATTTGCATAGGCTTAAATAGTGTAACTCTAGATGGGCCAAATTATAATTTCAATATGATACTGACTAATGTGTATAGAGAAAGTACCAAAACCAGTTGTTTGCCAGTGGTTGATATTATTTTTAATTAAAATTAGAGTTTTATTTTAATAATGTGTGTAAATATATATTAATAAAATTTATATTAAATGTGAGTACATATTATTGAAGTAATTTTAATTTTAATCGGAGAATAACATAAATCACAAATAAAGAATTATAGTTCAGTTTTGTTCTTAACCTAGTTAGCATATTAAAATATTTGGATAGAAATCTTTTTATAATCATATTATTATTGACGTTAAATATTTTCTCATTTTACTGATAACTAATTTTTTAAGGGAGTTTCATTTTTAGTAAGATATATTTTTCTAATTATATTTTTTTTCATTTACATGATTCAAATTCAAAATTTCACTTAAAAAATTGATATCAA